CACATGCATGTGCTGCATCGCACGCCCGAAACTGAGATTCTGCTGCCGGGAGAGTCGCTGGAATTGATGCAGAGATACATAGTCGATGAACACCCACTCCTCTCCCTTAAGAGCTTCGGCTAGTTTGGAAACCTGGTATCCATAGGGGTCGCAGTGCTCCCTCGCCTCCCAGCAGTGTGACAACGAGATTAGCTGGGTGCCGTCAGGCGCCTCGCCGTCGGCCCAGACTTGCACCTCGGAAAGATGACAAAAGCAGAGGGAGACTTCGGGCCGCCGAGTCGAGCAGGGAGATTATTGAAAACATGGCACATCGCGCCTCCTCGTGTGTCACAAGCGCAGTGCGGCAGTCTACGTAGGCGGACTCCGCTTCCTGGCGCCGCGGGAGACGCTGTCCTTCCCGATGCAGCTTCAGAATGAAGTCGGCTCGCACCTGGGCAGGACGCTTCATTGCTTCACACAGGACAGCAAAACTTGCTGTCAGAGGTGTGATCCGTCACATGTTGGTTATCACGCACAACAGGCAAGATCGGATGGCTGCAGACCTTTGCAGAGTTCAACCTCGTAGCTTGGGGTGCGCACAAGCCGGATGTCCGCATCTTTCAGGAAGTCCACCAGCCCCTGCTTCTGAGCCAGGTCGTAGCGCTTGGGCTGGCGCAGGTGCAGGCGTTGCGCGACGCTGTCGCGGAGCAGGCACGGAAACGCTCGCTCACCCCGCCCCCCGGCCTCTTGGGGCTCCGAAGCTGGATCCGGTCGGCGGAGGCAGCGTGCCACGTCTTCGCAGTTCAGTAGACCCTCGCCTCCGGACAGAAGTGTGCGCCACAAACTATAGCTTTCCGAAATCGCACTGGCAAGGTAGTTCTGACTCTGTCGATGTCCAATTCTGAGCTTCCGTCGATCGGGGACAAGCTCTTGAAAGATGTCCTGGACCATATGCTCAGGCACAATGTTGCAACAAGCTGGGCACGCAGTCTCTGCCTGGAGCATCTCCACGGTGAAACGGTCGCCTGCCACATGCCGGGAAGAATCCCTACACGACATCCTGATTCCGGATCCTGAAAACTTGGTCGTTGGATCTCGGTGGCTACAAGGTTCGATAGGGATGTATTGAGATGCTGCTTTGCTGTGCTGCACCAGCCATGCAACAGTTGGAGAATCCACGCTTCGCACTGTAGAATCGAGAAGTATGATTTGAACTTCTTTCCACATGCTGTCGATATCTAGCCCGGATCAAAGTCAAGCATATAATTGACTCCGAATTTATTTGCAGAGTGATGACCTTGCCGGATGTGTGACAAAAACCCTGGCCACCCTAAAGGGGGTTTGAGCCAAGCATATAGGGGGATAGGATTTCGGGCTTTGTTTTGTGTGGAAAACTATATCGTGCAGATGTTTTTGAGCTTTGTTATGTATAAGGAGAGCATGCAGATGTAGATAATTGGCTTTTGTTGTGCATGTGCAGCAAGAGACACTGAAATCTTTCGGGGGTAAAGAATCATGACGGCAAAAAACTATCGAGTTTTCACATGTAGAAACATGTTTGCCTCATGTTGTTTCCCGATGTTGTTCCAACATTTCACATAAAGTTTGTTCAAAAAACAAACGAAAGCAAGCCAGATTGCCACACCTTGTTTTCCATGATGATTCCAAATGATTATTTCAAAATCGCTTTGTGACGAAACATGAGCCCATGTTATTTCAATCAAACCTGTCTTAAAAGATATGAAATGCTTCCTTAATCCAAAAATAACCAGCTCTCATGTTCCAAAAGGCAGTTTCGTGTTTTGAGCGGGCACATGAGGGATAGTTTCTGTTTCATGAAATCAAACCACAGTGCCCCAAATTGCTTTAAACAAAAAAATAGGGAATTAATCGGGTACATCGCAAACCTACTCGGCATTCTAGCTCATCTCTACGATAGACATTATGTTTGTTGTCAAACACTTCCTTTCAACTGAACATCTTGTTGCAGAGAGCACAAGGTCTAAATCATCGTTGTGTCACAGAAGCACTGGAACAGTGCATGGGTGCATGAGCACTGAGCACTGAAACCAGTGCACCAAAGCACTGGCAAAGTGCATGCGAGCTGCCCCCTTCATCTGCACTGAACAAGTGCAACAGCACTGGATGAGTGCACCACAGCACTGGCAAAGTGCATCTGTGCACCGAAGAGGTGCAGTGGACTCCTTGATCGTGATCTTCGTGATGACGTACAGTTCCTTGGCCGTGTTTGGCAAGTTCGGGGGTGCCCAATGTTGAGAGGTCAGCGACTTGTTGCCGTGTGCTGCTAATTGTTCTGCACCTACTAGCTGCATGCAGTTGCTTCTTTTTTCACCAT